AAATTGGATTAATGTTTTGAATAGTGTTTCTTATCAATCGGTTAATCACGCCTGTTCTATCGATGTTTTTTTTTTCCACGCACATTGATGTAAAACATGAAAGAGAAAGCAGTATTGCATCCATTGAAGAAGCGCGTTCTACCCGTGGATTCATATTTATTCATTTGACCTCATCAAATGGGCTTAAATAAACGTTTAGTACAAAACCATTTTGTTAAAGCTTATACTGGCAGTTCCGTTTCCGCGCACTGTCATGGACCAATCCACATATATTCACACATACTTCTATTGATGTAGTTTTAGGGCAGAAAGGGTTAATAGGAATATGGGGTTTTGTGTTCCATTTTCGGACAGCACGACAATGTTTGCATTACAAAGTTGTCCGCAGTGAATGACGTATGGGTTATTTAGGATGGATCACGGGGAAAACCTTTAACGTTCCATCCATCTTTATCGAATTCTCGATCACACGAGGCTTTCAATCAACGGTAACAGTTGGTCAAGAGTGATTGGGTATGGTGTAGTCTTTGTGATAACATGTCTCCTGTGCCTGAAGGACAGGACGCGTACACAGAACGGCCAGTCAACACACAATGCAGTATTCTATGGGGCCTTGGTCAATCAAATTAATGGCTATGTCTATACAATCTACATCACATTTACGCTATCATCACTCATACTTAACGTGTTTTCAACTGACATACTTAACAAACTGTTGAATGTTAAATTTCAATAATGACGAATTGATATCGATCATCAGGGAATGGAGGGGCGTCCCAGACGAACAAGTATTTTTTCAGCCTATGTGAAGGACCTCTGAATCTTGTGATTCAAAATGAGTTTTAGTATTGGTTCATGTAGAGAAAAAAGGGACAGCCTGCTGTTCGTTTCTCCGGGTTAGTAGGAATGGCGGAAATCGACTCACTGTTTTATAATTACAAGTGTTCAAATCTACATTAGTACGCGTTTGTGAGCTTAGTCCTATCGTAAGTAGTGGTTGTCCAGTATTTAGGTCGAAGCTTTCTCGTTTTACAAGTGATACAAAGCGAAATTCTCGGTTAGGATATATATTTACACACTATTTAAATCCTTTTATTTCACTAGACGGTATCCGCGTTTTCGTTTTAAATGCTTCAATATAAGGTACTGATGATAACATCCTATTTGGTTCAAGTGCTAGTTGTGTGAATACAAGATATTTCTTACCAATGAAAAACGAAGCTGTAAGAGAATGTATGAGGTTTCGGAACATCAACAGTATGAAGAGAACCAGACAGAAGAATCACCACGGTTGTATTTCTAGATGAACTTTATCGCTCTTTTCAAACTGTATTATCGACGACGGGCACTATTTTAATGCGAGCCTCTTTTTCTAACGAGATTATATCTCTTGCAGCGCCGCCAAAGTCAGTCGTCAGTTCGAATCCCAGGTGTGATCTCCCACTTTTCGAGAGCCCTTTGCTTTCCTGTGTATAATATTGTTTTAAATATAATTGTATATAATCAATTTGTATTAAGTAACATTTACCATGTGTGGGTCGCTGGCAAACAGCACTACCAAATTAACATCTTAAATACATAATCATTTATTTTTAATATGCAAACATTGGAAGAACATCAAAAAGATTCCGTATAACTGCATTACAATATCACTCATGTCAGAACAGCAGGATTTATGGCTCGCATTCAGTTGTATAACTGGCAATCTCTAAAACAATAAAAGACCGTAAGTGACCGGTTGCCTGCATGGAACAGCGAATGCATTTTCGGAGTGTGTCTTTTTTCGTTTCATCCCCATATGACGGGGACAATTCTGTTGAGCCTTGCCCTCGTTGGTTATGCCTTATGATCCGTGTCTTTAGTTGTTTATTAAAACAACATCATTATGATTTGTGTCTTGGTTGTCTATTAAGAGCACAATCATTATGATTTATGCCGTTGGTTGTTCATTGAGAACACAAACATTATGATTCGAGTCAAATCAGACGACAAATTGGCGCGGAAGACCGAACATATTCAACTTAGCGTTATTATTTAATTTCCCTATAAGGAAATATGAATCGTCTTTTTCCCTAGATTTTCACTGAGAGTATTGTTAATCTCACTAAAACAATGCATCGTATTTTCGTACCATAACGGCAAAAATTGTATAATACTTATGACGTTTTGTGTTGTTTATGAAGTCTTCGTATTTGTTGGTAAAGCATAACCCATTATTGCTTGTTTTGTAACTTGATCATCAAACACAACACTAATTATGCTAGGTGACAATGTTTGTTTATGAAATGGAGCACAGACAATAAGTTAGTATCTCTGTTTACGAATTAAGTAGAACATATTTTATTATCCCCTCGCGACGATGTCGGGGAGTAGGTACAGCGTTCCGCACACAAGCGTTCGTTCGCTCTCTCTATCGTTCCTGCACGGACTTTGATCAAACAACATTTATTAGTCATACATAATTACGTTTTACAGCTAATTCATTCCTGTATGGATCGTTATCAAAATAGTATATGACATAAGTATGACAATACCATGGACGAACTTATTTTCTTAACAGATTGCTATTAAGCTTAATTAAATGGTGAAGTATGAGAATTGTGATTGTAAGCCTTTTTTGTTTAACAGTTATAACTAATACTATTATCCATATGTTGTAAAGCGCTCCAGAGTATTTTTACAAATTATATAGGATGCTATATATATGTTGTATGTTATTATTTTATTACATTTATTATTTATACTTAAACTATTTTCGTGCTGTTGTAAGAGTGAGACCTAACAATGAATGTTAAATTTATAATCTTTAACCACATACAAAAGGATATCTATTGTTTATGATGCGTTGTTTGTTTTGTCATTTGTTGATTGAGTAGAACATATATTATGGTATATGACGTTGTTTATTGATAACTTTAACGATTGTAAATCAGTGTCTGTGTCGGCTTTATCGTGTACACTTCCACAACCAAACAATCAGACCAAAAGAGGCGACGGAAGTTTGAGAGGAAACGACTGGTTCTGCTTTTATGGATAATGATGTAATTAGAAAGTAGTGTTGTTCATGTCAACTTATCTGTTTGTTTCCAGATTACCATTGCGATTTTGCTGTTTTGTGTCAATATTGTCATTGTGAATAAAACCCTTTAGTAGTAATTACCAAATGTAAAAACATAAAAATGGCATTTGAAATTCAACGGATCATTGCATGAAAGACAACTTACATGGAATAAGTCTTTCAAATGAGACGTCACAGTTATTGCTACGGTATATAATGATCGAATCCTCTAGCGTGATAAGGTAGAGGCTGACAGCCCTGCTACTGCAATTTGATGTATTGCCTCCTTTTGTCTTGACATTTATCGACAATAATTGTCACCTTACTACAATAGCCACACCCGTGAAGGCAGGCTGTTATGTCAGAATCGTTAACTTTCCTTTCCTTATGAGTAACATATCGGAATCTATCACTGATGAAAATTTGATTTTTTTAAGTACCTTACTCTAGGACGTGTCGTTAGTAACAAACCGCAGTTTCATGATCATTCTTGAACGTAAACGAATTCCTTACATAACTATTTTCCATAGGAATAATTCTCAAAAGAAATGTGCTTAACTTTAGACATTACTTTGACTTCAATAATGCTTTCCAAAGGTAAGGAGTTTTTCTAAAAGTAATTACCTTTAACGAAAGTTGGGGCAATGGATATCTTGACTGGAAAATACCGTTTACTATTACACTACTTAACCTGTAGACGTTTCGATACCGGTAGCAACATGTTAATTGTCATCATCTTCACCTGTTCCAATGGTGACATTCCTGTGTCTGCCATGATTAAATAATTGTTCACTGTGTAAAAGATCATATAAAGTTGGTGACTTACGTACTTTTATGAATTTTAAAAGAGACGTCCTGACAAGTGTCCTGAAACGCTAAGCTTTTCAGAAAACCTTGTTTCTAATATGGTTGTTTTGGTGGTTAATCATATTCCCCCGCTCTGGTGTATACTCGGTTTCTGCTGGTGACTTTCCATTGTTTTGATGCCTCCTCGATTGCAGTAAGTTACATTCTATTGTTTTGGTGCCTCCTCGGTTCCAGTGAGCGACTTTCCATTGTTTTGTTGCCTCTTCGATTCCAGTTAGTGACTTTCCATTGTTTTGTACCTATTCGGTTCCAGTTATTGGCTTTCGGTTTCGAATTTGAGCTCTGACTTTGGCTTTGGTTTGATGAAATATTTTCAAATAAATTGATCATAATGAAAGCTTTGTTAAAATTATGGAAGACCCTCAGTTTTGAATTAGGGTGTTCGTTAAACCAATGTCTGCACGCACATGCCGGAAACGGAATGTATTCCAATGAGATTGGGATGGCAACTATTCAACTTGCTCACGGTTTTCAGCAATCTATATCTCTCAAAACCTTGTGTAGGAAGTTAGGCCGTCATTAATTTATATCTCTCAAACCCTTGTGTAGGAAGTTAGGCCGTCAGCAAACTATATCTCTCAAAACCTTGTGTAGGAAGTTAGGCCGTCAGCAATTCATATCTCTCAAAACCTTGTGTAGGAAGTTAGGCGGTCAGCATTCAAAATATATCATGGGAATCGTAGTTTTCGGAACAAGCCCTTGAATATGAAACCAAGTTCAAAATTGTTAACACTGTTGTTGGAAAGGCAGGTATTAGGTGCATACCATGTCTAAGACACATATCATAGTAAGGTGTCCTATATATTTAAGCTAACGTCGTTATCACCAAGAGCAGTTGTATCTATCAAGATCGTTAAGTTGATGATACTTCAAAATTCGTTTTTGAAATTTGAAAAAATATGACAATATTTGTATAAATATTTCGGGATGGTCATATTTTGCCACAAGGGCATGCATATAATGTTTTCAGTTTGTTGTGATAATAATGACAATATAATTAATAATTTACCTTATCTGTATGTGTATTCTTCTTCTATGACACAATGACGACATAAGACTACACTATAGTAAAATGTCTTTATTAGCAATGTGGGCAACGTGAACCAGCAATATGAACTCATGGAACATTGGGAATGGTGCACATTGCAATGAGTTTTATTAAAGGAGCCAGCGGTGATTCACATAGTAATGTCCCTGGACCATTGTATTTTAAGATAAGCTCTCCAGAATTTAAGATAAGCTTTAGTTCATAGACATCCTTTCTATTTACAACACTTGTCACATTGCTGATAAAAATGCATTACAAAAAAAGGTGTGTGTGGATCTCTAACAGATAACATTCATAAAAAGTTCCTCTCTAAATGCAAAACAAGTGAGTAGAGGCTCTTGCAGCAGCAAAAAGGTTTTGAGATGGAAACTCAAATTTGTCTGTCGTTAACATTTGAGCATTTCCCAGGAGTTTCGGCCAGACATACTGCATTGTAAAAAAACAGCTGTTAGTTATACTTTATGTATGGAATCGAACCGCAATGTTTACAAATGAAAAATAACTTTTTGTTCAGTTGGAATTTGAGAAACCATAAACGTGTAAAGGTAATTTGGGACACTCGCCAATAACATCTGTATTTTACTGATCGAAATTATCGTCGACGTGGGAATTTTTACAAAACCATTTGTCTAACATGGAAATTATCGAAAACATCACTGTGACGGATGTCATATAGACACGTCTGGCGAGAGAAACATACTCATACGGATATTTATCATATACTGAGGCTGTTACGTAATGAAGTAACACATTACATGCATTTTTCATTTGTGAAATGTATGATATTACTCATGATGAAGTCACTAAGAAAATATGATGACGACGTCGCAAATGAGTGGAAGAGACTAACCTGGTTTTCTTTTGATTTTATCTGTTTCATTTAGTACAAAATGTGCCATTTAACTTGCTTTGGCTAAGTACGTTATAAAGATGAGGATTCGTACAACTCTTCTTATTACATGTATATAATTTGTACCTATGTAAAAAAGTTATTTGTAACGTGATATTAATTTATATACTAATGTAATACTGTTGTGTACATCATTGTAATACTACAGATGTATAATGCATGTGTTGTTGTTTTACTATTGTATTCATGTTTTCATAATATAGTGATGCATTACTGATACATCATCAATGCGTTGCTTATTGTCTTATTAATTTATAACTGATTATGCACTGAATTGATTAATGGTTGCTTTCCTAGAAAACAATGTTAAGTGAACAAAGGTAAACATTCAGTATAACACGTCACCCAATCATGTGTTTCTGCCAGGGTCGCATTTATATTAGTAATGATCAACTAAGCGACAATTCATAGCAGAATCCTGTTTACTATGCTATTTTCTGTTTTCCTCTTGCTACATGTGGTTTTTTTGTTACCTTTAAACACGTGTTCTGTCCTTAATGTTGACAACATCCAAGATGAAACAGCATTTTGTCATAATATTGATGACGTCAACAATCACGCTATGACATTAACAGCTAATATGCAACCACTTGTTTATAACAATTCCATGAGATGGTAAACATTGTGATGAAAATCATTTCATTTCATGATAAGGCTACAAGTGACTTAATCTTTTTAATAATTAAACAAAAGATAATTTGAAATATTTCACGATAAATTGATAATTTACATAACCTGGTCCAATGCGTATACAAAACTAATCTATCAAAGCGTTGGTAAAAGTGCAGTTAATACAACCAAGCGATTTATTATGTTGATGAAACCAATCGTTGTGGTTGACACATTATTGTGACTTCATGACAACCACTCATCGAGTATCATGCAATAACAAGTATTCCACAAGCAATCCTCTTAACAACCAATCAATGAAAGGGTTGTTGCATTATCTTATTTGCGAGAAAAATACAAAATAAGATAAGACATATATCATCAATCAAGCACAAGAAAAAACTAAACTAAGATAAGTTAAGACTTATATGAAATACTTTCAATTTCGTTTCTGAAGGTTTGATTATCTGTCCACTTAATTGAGGTACACCAACTCTGAGTGATCCAATGATAATAATAACATAAGCTCAGAACATGAAGTCGAAATCAGAGCAAGGATACCTAAATCATTGGTATTTATAAGGTATCTAAAGCGTTCATCTAATTAGTGTAGTGACAACCCTGATAATACTACTGTATCTACAGGGAACGAATTCCTAATGGGAGCGTCTGTAATGTATATGTAAACAAAGTTCACAACAGAAACAAAACTTTGCAACTTGAACATGTACAAACAGAAAGCTACAAAAAAGTTTAAGAAAATATTTCTCGTGTCTTTTGTTATAAACTTAACATTACAAGTTCTTGCAAGTTTCATAATTCAAATTCATTGTCAGACGTAAGTGTTTCGTTATGGTTCATTATGCTACGCACTTTGTACAGCTTAGTATAAAATTCCTCATTTCTTCAAAAGTTACAATTACACAAATGAACGTTTTACGGGGCTAACATTTTAGCCTTTTTAATCAGGATATGTGTTATGAGCGAAATATTAGCACGGTAAATATATAATAGGTAACAAAAGTTAACGCCGATCGTTGTCTAATCACTCGTTCTTAATAGTGTCCGGCTGAACATTCTTGACATAAAGATACACTTCAGCATTTCGCCACTACGACCCTTTTATCCTAATAGAACCAATTAACATCCTCCGGTACACTTTAAATTAGAGAGTACACAATAGCTGGCTCATCTCCGCCTGCACAGCTCGTTCTTGAACACAATCTTGTGAAAGGCGTTGCGGAACTCCCTATTAAATACAGTGTATATGATTGGATTGAGGGCCGAGTTACAGTAACCGGCCCAGAAAAACACGTTAAATACCACCACTGGGATACAGTATTCACACAATGAAGAGATAATATACAAGGTGAAGAACGGAAACCAACACAAAATGAACGCCGCCATTACAAGTCCTAACACAATAGTCGCACGCCTTTCCCGCGCTTTTGCTAATTTCTTTTTCTGTTTTTCTAATTCGCCCATTACGTCAGTTTCTTGTTTCGGCGTATCTTTCTTCGTCGGGTGGCTAAGATTTCTAGCTACGGGTTTTTTACAAACTTCTGTTCGTGTTTCTCCGTTGTTGGTTGTGGTAACGGACACGGCCTTTTCATTTCCTTGCTTACTGATAGTTCCGTTCACATCAACACTATCCCCTTCGGTAGACTTCGAACTATTTTCAGATTTGTGCTCGTTATTTTCAGTTAGGGTAGTAGCGGGAATTAATTTCGTCATTTCGTCCGGATTCGATCCATCCGCATTAATTGTGTGATCCTTTTCGCACGCATTGTTCACCGGAATAGGTTTATCGTACATTGGCCACGTGGTTTCGTCATCCGAATGAGCTGTAGCACAGTCCATGATAGACCGCGCATCCGATCTGACTGTCTCAATAGGACCCATCATAGGTTTTAGCTCCTGTTTGTCAGCTGTCATTTCGTTTTTGACAGTTTTCTTTTTCTGCTCTTTCTTTTTGATGTCTTTTTTATTGCCCCTTCTTGCTCTCAGTTTAGCCGCTCGATAAATTTGATAATAGACCATGACCATGATGATTGCTGGAATATAAAATGAACCCATTGCAGAATATATTATATATCCTGTCTCCGAACTAAGTAGACATAACGGATACTCTGTCGCCTTAAGTGGGTTCTTCCAACCGATCAGAGGAGGAACGCAAATGACAGTTGAAACAACCCAAACAGAAGCCATCATGAGAATAGCTTTTCCTGGCGTTCTAAAATGTGTATAAGTAAGGGCGCGTGTGATGCAAAAGTAGCGGTCGAGGCTGATGAGGCAGATATTTAATATTGACGCTGTGCACAGGAATACGTCAATTGTTTTCCAAAGATCACACCAAACCGGTCCAAAATACCAGTATCCCATTACCTCATTGGCTAGAGAGAAAGGCATGATGACGAGACCGAGAAGTGAGTCTGCTAGAGCAAGTGACGCTATAAACCAGTTCTGTATTGTCTTCAGGTTACGGTCAGTATAAACGGCTATCACGACCAGGAGGTTGCCGAAGATGATGAGGATGATGATAATAGAGACGATGATAACAGTAACAATGAGATGAGGCAAGTCATAACCTTTAGGTCCTGTCGGATCAGAAGCGTTCACTGCTGACAGATTCAGCGCCATATTGGTTGGTGTTTCGGAAACAAGAGGCATTGTCAATGTCTACTTGTATATGTTGTCGGGAGAGAAGAACATAGAGAACTACTCAACACAGTTTCTACTGAACTTAAGTAAAACCGTGACCTGTTTCTAACTCTCCACTAAATACGTATCCTTCTCAGATGAACGCACGACATATGCTGGTTTGTTAAACAACGTCTCACACAGTTGATATGTGATTGGTAATTGAAAAAAACAATCACGCCATACACTCAAGTTACACTATCTGGTACTTTATCAGGAATTAACAACAGTGGATCAAATACAAGTAAGCCCCACAAAACAGCCTACTACGGATTTGCAATATCATGTATAAATCTATTAGATTCAAGACTGGCGTTGTGTTGTGTTTATTATTATCTCTTCCGAGCTGATGAACGTTTTGTGGCTCGCAATGTTAATACCAAAACGCCAGCTAGTTTTAAGATGTTGATAGAGGATCGTAGGTGGATTCCAATGCTTGGCTTGTACGTAATTCTGTCTACGTCCTGGTATTTCACGATTAATTTATAGATTGGCAGGGCATAGATCTAGTAAGCCGTTGATATATACCTGCTTCATATTAATGATAGTGCCTTTTTTGTTTTAAGATAGCAATGAAGTGTAATATTTTCGCAGCGAGATATTGTTCATCCTAAAGCACACCGTTGTAGAAAGGACATTTTTAAAATAGTGTTATAATGTATTTGTGTAGCATTAACTTCTGTTTTGTTGTTCACGGAAGTGGCTTGTTTGTCGCCTGAGTTGTTTTAAGTCAGCTCCCGGAGCCCATATCGTCATCTCCTCGAGGGCTCTTCGGAATAGCTTGATAGCTTCAAGTCATAACGTGATGTGCTCGTTAAATTGCATTTGGTGAAAACCGGTTTATTTTCGTTTTATTGAAATACCAAAATGCTTTTAGATTTCAGGATAAGGATTATTTGTAGATGCCTTTCACGTTACTTCAATTTAATTCCGATTTCCACTTCATCTTTTCTAATTTTCTTGGTTCTCTTTCTTGTTTTTCTCAGAAGTCAGATCAACGTTTCCACCTAAAAAATAGAGAAGAAACCGAACTTAAAATGGATGGATGAGGTCAATGAATGTTTGAGTGAAGGTCGATTGAATGACACTGCCGTAATTAACTTTACTTGTGACAAACTCCGCATGTTAATTTACAAATAAGACATGTACAAACAAGCTTTAATGGAAACGAATTCGACAGCCACTTCCCGAAACGTGTGTTAAAATTCACCAAAGGCTGTTAATTAAACGGGTAAAATAGGCGTTTTAATTGAGCTGACGATAGTTCGTAAGTGACTGGCTCATGTGAACAATATAACAGCTGAAAATTTGAAATTGGTTGAACCATCATCATTCTCACAAACACGTTTTTGATATCTTTAGAATGTTACTTTCTCTCTCTGTCAACAACCCCTTCACATTCCTCATTAGTTGGTAACTCCAACTAACCCTGTGATGCCCACGACGTCGATATCTCTATCTAACCCAGTTAACAAGTCCTACACACGCCGTCAATATTTTCCGCCAATTTCACATGTATCTTTTCTCTTATTGCCATTATATCCTATCCTACCCTTTAACACCCCCTACACACAACGTCAATACCTCCTATCCTCAACGTCAATATCTCCTACCCAACCCGTCAATACCTCCTACCCTCAACTTCAATATCTCGTACTCGGCCTGGTAATATCTTCTACCCTCAGTCGTCAATATCTCCTACTCCAAACGTCAATATTCCTACTGATAACATAGATATTTTTTTCCATCCCGTCAACAAATCTTACCTATAACGTCAATATATCCTACCAACCCTGTCAATATCACCTACCCACAGCGCCATTTCTTCCTTTATACAGGTTACATTGTATTAACTTTTAATTCGTCAGAAATCTCATTATAGATATGGCATCAGCACAGCTGTCCATGTAAGTATTAAGATTTTTAAATATGTATATAGCATGATAAAAACAGGTACAGCCACTACAGACCAGGGATTTACTGATCAAGTAAATAGCTTATGATTTTCTGTATCAACAGAATTTTGTAAAATTATCAAATGTTACAGATTACAGCACTGACTATGTTAGATATGTTTGAGATCGAATCATTGCCAAATTGGCAACAGCAACATGATTCCTTACATAATCTCATATGTTCAAAGAAAAAAGGTTTCAAGTTGTTTTCGTACTAAAGTATCAGAGTTTGTATGTGTTAGATCCCCATCACAACTACGCGACATTAGCTGATAATGATAAATTGGATGTAAACCTGGATGTTAAAACCCACAAGCCTAAACCGACCTTATTATGTATCTATTACAACGAAGTCGTGTTATATATTCTAATATACAAACATGTGAATATTAAACAGATGAAAGAAACTGTTAAACGATATTTTACAAAATTAATATGTACAAGGATTTGAATATGAAAGAAACAAATAAAAGAGGAAAGAGTAATCGATTATTGAAGGGTTGATTAAAATCAGTAGTAAAAGACGATAGAGTTAGAGTCATTATTTTGTGTCCGCCGGGATTTGTTTTATTGCATATGTGTGGTAAATCTTATACTGGCGCTGCATTTATATAGGCACTGTACTGATGAACAAAAATGTTTAAAGTTATGATATAATGAATTCAATAAGGAGTCTATATGTGGTACATTTGGTAATCTTAATTTAATTTTGACATCATTACCTGTCTGACAGGGAACAACGTACTTGCTTGCTTGGGGAGTACGGACTCGATCGTTGAAATATGTCGGACAATGTTTTCATTTACATTCAGTAATGATAGGTTAACTAACGTCAGATGAACATTTCTGGCTAACCCGGTTTGCCTGTTTAACTTTGTGTAGCGTATTTATTAACTCTAGTTTGCAATCACCGATTTACGTCACGGTAAAATGGAGATGCATGCACATTTACGTGGTAGTAATAGGTACATGTACTTAACTTATAGACACATTAATCTTACAAGCAGGGCTTCGTCAGGCGAATATTGTTCACGATGCTTGTTCCAATTTCATGTGGTAAAAAAATCCTTTTATCAACGTGTCCTAAAATTATTACTTTCATGATCATTTTGATTTATTGTCTAATTCACTTCGTTATAGAAGCATAAATAAAGGAGAACGTGTTTTTTCTTTTCTATTAAAAACGATTTTTTTTATCTTAGTTTCCTAAATTCTTTTGAAAATAAAATAATCTCGGATAAATGCTTTTTTTTCACCGCAGCTTTTGCTCCCTTTTGGCTAAGGCTGATGTCAAAACAATTGTGCTAGTGTTTCTCTGTTTTACTGAACTATGCTACCTGGAAAATGTTTTCGTCTGTGTTAAACATTCAGTTATTCGTGCCCATCCGAGTCAACACTTGCTCATACTGCCCCATTTCGTTGGTTGGTGTCTGTCTGAACGTCCAACTCTCTTAGAACAATAAAGACTGTGTTGTAGAACTATTAACAGTTAATCATCCTATCATGTTAATCTGACCCAAACTGTTAATGTTGTCAGAGATAATTTGTTTCAGTTGTAATTGATTCTTCCCCATGAAGTCTGTCACTATTTCGCCATAGTTAAACGTTTGTTGTTAAGCCTTCATTACTTTCTTTGGCTACCAATTTGAGCAGTCAGCAATTCGTAGCCATCGTGATATTGTGAATGCATCTTTCGGATTTTTAATCATTTAGAAACCTGTTTCAATTTTAAACGGTTTTTTCAGATTAAATTAAAAACCGGTGATTGTTAATCTGCCGGTTGATGTTGTTTTTGATGTCCGTCCATTGATAACATTTTCAATGTTCTACCTGTTGGTCTTTCATCTTGATTATGGAAGTTAAAATCCTTATCTTCTTTTTTTACTGTTCATATATATCCTGTGATTGATGAACTTAGCTGTTAATTGGACCTTAAACGAAATAAAACCAAACCAAACACTTTAATTCCCACACAATAACATTCCTTTGGCATTTTTTACATCTTAAAAATACATTGAGCAGTTTGTGTCCACCAAGGGTAACTACCAGACCTAGTTTCTTAGTGCAAAGAAGTTTCTTCAATAGCAATCGAGCATTTTCATGAAACGAGTCTAATCTTTTTGTATAATATAAGATGAAAGCTATTTAAGGATTATTTTGTCACACAATACATTTTTGTATATTGCAAAAATCGTAGACAAAAACCCGTTGCTATTTCAAGTTCTTGAAATAGAAAATTACACCATATCTGCGCTATAAATATTAAAAGAAATAAGAAGATATAAAGAAAATACCGTTGCTGAGAACTTCACTCGACAGAGAAAAACATTTCTATGGCAAATATTGTCGAACCGTCTTGGTAAATAAATAAATAGGACCAAGTATTCGTTTCCATTTATATGAAACTAATGAAACAATGTCATATGAAATAAAAAATATTTCAGATCATTTTTTATATTAAGCGGTTCATATCACATAATTATTTATGTGAAATATATGTTTCACCAATAAACAATGGTTATCGTAGATGTTTGGGAGATCAATCATCAAAGTCATTCGTGCTACATGGAGTATCTGAAGAAGAAAACAATATGTCTTAACTGAAATACGTAGTGCCTGTTGTTCAAAAAATCAACATGATTTGAGGGGCAGCAACCACAGAAGGACACAACATTTCTTACATGTGAAGCGTTGGCTTTTCATAAACAACAACAAATTGAATGTTAAAAATGGATATTTTCGAATTGAATTAAGGGAAAAAACGAAATTGTCCTTTTAATCTGAGATTAAGGTCGTTTTAGTTCATTGCATCCGAGACGGTTTGACATGTTGGGTCATATTTAATCGTTTATGAAATAGGAACGGAACAGGCGATTTCCTGTTGTTTTTTGGAGAGCATTGGTAAAAACAAATTTAGGGCCTTCATTAACATTTGCAGGTACGTTAAGATTACCCCTGAACTATAACATTAATAAAAATAGACAAATCGGTCTGTCCGCATAAACGAGCAGACACGAAAACGTTATTACGTATGTCAGAAATTGCCGGTCATAATCAAATCATGTGATGTACCACAACACGACTACTACATGTAGAGTTTTTGGCAGAAGTAGTATTATATACTGATTTCATTTCACATTGAATTCTCTATAATTTAGCATTAATGGAAAATATTAAACGATGGTCATAGAACCGTCTTTCGAACGATAATCCACATCAAAGTTAGTCAACAACTACCGCAGCTAGTGTCTGTAATGTGAAGGTCAGTTTGTCCATATGCTTTAAACAAGCTAAATGTATGGTGAGAATCGAATCAATTGTTTATTTAAACGTTTAAGACAAAGTCAACGCCAACTTACACGTCAATTAAAGCATATATATATGTGTCCTTTACAATTGAGACATCATACCAGTGGATGTTATAGAGGCTTCCTCAGGCTCTGTAAGTGCTACGTAAAACGAATGCGAGTCGCGCATTTCAATGCATTAATTTACATCATTCTGATAATGTTTTGTTCGGAGAATGTCTGAGCACGGCTTACACCAGTCATTTCCTCAGCCCCGCAGTTCTGTTGACAAGAGCGGGTGATCCCGCAATCACCTGCCTCACATGGGACAAGAGCTACATCAGGCTAGCGACAACTGACAAAATGATTGGGCGAAATCCATCACAAAATACCAGCGCAGCTTAATTTGACTTGGGTGTAACTTTGATTCGCGTTCCATGTGGTACACGATGAGCACTGGCGATGATAATATGATTGCTCGTGAATTTGTTCGTACTCGCGTGTATATTCAGTAATATGTTGGTCTAACACGCAAGCCAGGCCAGAGAAGCCTCATTGACGATCACTACTTTAAATACACAGCACGGGTATAAATAATCTACTGTAGGAGGACGAGTTGGATATCGTTTTGACAGCCTAATGGCGATTCAATACAAGGTGGCGAAATGTTTCATAATAAAAACAATTTGGGGACTCCTACTAGCTTGAACACAGTTCCCCTCTGTTTTCCTGACTATTCACAGCTTTATTAGTTTGGCCAGCACAGGTTTTTAAACTGGGTTAATTACGATGCTAGCGGGATTTTCGAAATATCAAGAATATTTTATGTTTGTTATTGCCAGTTTGTCCCTTTTAATTGGATTAAAAGGAGCATCAAAATCCCACAAATGCAACAAAATATCCCCATTTCGTATAATAACAAGGCTTTCCGACGAAACCAAAACGACATCCAATCACCTGTTAGTGGTATATGTCGTAGTTTTGCTCAGTTATCACCTGACGCGATCTCAACCTTGGTTCGTAATCGTGTCATTTTGAATATGGAGCAATCTTGAAATTAGTATTTTTAAATCCTAGCCCCGAGAGTGTGATTAATTAGACATGAAATCGATGACAGGTAACTTATTATTAACATTAATGCGTTATCGACAGTAATATAATCGACTTGCCAGCATGTTACATCGAAAAGCGTTTGTGATATCCTACGTTGAAACATTAGTAATAACTAACTTATTGCGACATCAGTAGTCACCGACCTACTTTACTACATATGACTTACTTTGAGTGACCTACTTTACGACATTGATAATAATTTATTTACTTTGCGACATTCATTTATCTACTTAATTTGTTTATATTTAATTGGGTTAGAACAAAATCTGAGAATAACAGCAGGTTTTTGACTAAATCTCCAGATGACTTGGTCGCCTTTGTATCGTTGAATACTAAGTTTTCCCACGACATTCTAACAACTCACAAAGCCCAGCTGTACCTCACAATACGTGTTATTTACTGGAAGACTAAAGAGTTAACAAAGATAGAAGGAAGGTGATTATTGTTCTGCTTATATGCTAAAAATGTGTATAAAGTACAATGAATGTGAAACTTTACCATATTTATTCATATCTTTTCCTCAAAATGACAGTGAACAGGGTTCAGTTTAGCAGGTGAACAGGGTCGAGGGTATCAGTCAGCACTTTACCACACCGCCATCGTCGACGTCTCAACGCTGCAAGAAAAAGTTTTTTTTGTTAGTTTCACTTCTTGTACAATGATAAACAAATAAGTATAAAGTAAAGTATTGGAACTGAACAGATAGGCATAGAATTAATTAACTTTTTACAGCGCTTAATTTTCAATGCAAAAATACCATCATAACACTTATACATTGATGACAGCGCCCAACTTGTAATGATACAGTCATAATTTTCTACAAATCTGACAAAGGTGCCCTTAACTGCCATCGACTGATAGTTTCCGGTGACAAAACTGATCGAGATATTGCTACCCACATTATCAGAGATATCTGTTATTATCCTGGTGTAATATCGATCGACCGGACGCCACACTATCATTTGTTCTGGGCACAGATTCATCAACGTTCAACGTCGTTTCCGATGTCCGCTATTGCCAGCACGTTGTTAAATGAGTTATCACCTCAATTGCTTATGTTGCGATCCATTCAAGTTAAAACTGCACCTAACATCAGGTAGATACCAATTGCCCAAAATAAGACGACCATATATTTTCATTTAACATTATAAACCAAGGCATAATTACGTATATTTAAGCTAAAACTTGCCCAAAAATTGGCTAGATTAATATTTGGATTCTGTTTGAATATAATCAGTGAACACATTAGCAGTAAAACAAATCTGGAAAGAAAATTACAGTGCGCCTGATAACAAATGCTCACTACCATTTTTGTACTATCATTTTAGAGATTAAGTTTTTCATAATCCTGTCTTTCAAACTTGCTGGTTGTTTCGCCTTCATTAAGAGGAAATCAGGCCACCCCTGTCGTGCTTTTCAAGCCTGTCAGCTCTATCTTCACGTCCACAACATATGCATCTGATATTGAGAATAGCACGGCCTATCACAATAATGTAGATAATCCAATAAATCCATCAGAAAAGTTTGGGGTATTACTTATAACTCTTTGGCTGATATAACATGGCTCGTTTATGTCTTGTACAAATGGAAAGCGGGGAAACAATCCTAATCTGATTAACACGGATGAGCCTCCCATGGACATCTTTGTCATACAAAATGCGGGTAAGTCGGTTACACTTACTTAGATTTTAATTGACTCTATCTACTCCAACAGCTGCGTATTTCAATTCTGTTATTTGCATTAGTTAATGAAGTGATTTGTGTCGAAGCATATTTTATCGCTGAAGGTTTATAAAGGCTTACTGTACTTTTAAAAAGCAAAAGGGAACAGGCACCTGTCTTCGTATACACATTGTTGACATGGTAATTTCCGTTGGGTGCTAACTCCAGAACCATGATTTGTCAGCGAAGCGGAACCATTAATGGCTAGCGGAGGGTCTCGTGGACTTTACTGCGACAAGCTTCTGCGGCTGTCCTGTAGTCTATCTACTAATAAATCCACTTTATCAATTACAAAACCTGCCATACAACGCTCCAATCCATGGGGATAACACCGGTATATCAGGAGGTCGACTCCGGCCAGCTCTTTCCTCGTTCCTCGGGTGTCTATCGTTCAGCAGATATACTGTCCACAGATAGGGCGGTAATTGACATTTTTGCGGGAGATTATTAACCAGAGAAGAAGTGGAAATGTATTGATACAGAGTTCTGACGATTCCGGGGACTGAAATCGGCTTTTAATTACCCATCAGGGCTATCTGTTAAGATCCCAACCGTCCAAACGATAACGGATTTAGAAATTCATTATGCTGCCATAATTACTAAGACTTAAAAGGATGGCTTGTTTTCTTTTTCAGCTTGCAGAACTAGCTATGGTGGTATTAGGGTAGGCAATGTCCATATACTACAATGTAATATATTTCTCGCCCGTAATCATTTTAAGTAGTATTTAGAACTGAACATTGCATCAGACTATTATGGCCGTTTCCCGAGGGAACTGTTCTAATATACTGCTGTCTGGGTAGGTGTATAATTACTGTAAAATCGGAAAACTGTTGTTGATCAGTTAGCTACTTGAACATAGTTCTCCTCTTTCTTACGTCTGAATACTTTAGCCTTAGTCATTAGCCTCGAACCATGCTGTACTTCTATTAACGAGTCCGACTTTCACTCAAACCGAAAAAAATGAATAATCACCATTCGTAATATCCTGCAGTCAACGCAAACCACGAACTATAAAAAAAAACAACACTGGGGGATACTTAAGTGTCAACAAAATATTAATTCTAGCTCAAAATCGATAAAACAATGGCAGAGTAATAAGACCAGGTGTTTAGGAAGTATCAGCGTCAAAAGAACAATGCTAGTTAATTTGACTGAAAAGCATTGCTTGGTGAAGGCTTTTCAAACAAATAATGCACATATTTATTTAGGCTTAATAGGTCCATGCTGATTTTATTGCTGTTGATTTAATAGATGGACATCGAGATGTATACGTCAGATCTAAAGGAAGACCGTGACACTTCCTTACGTAGGTCTCAGTATAGGCAAACGTTGGTATATTGTCAATTTTTTCTTTAAATATACAAAATAATAACAGTTAACCACCAGGAGCGCGAGCACTGACTGTGCTCTAGAATGAGATCGTCAACTAAAGGCAAGTATGAAAAAATACTGGATGTTTTCACCCAAATATCATACTAAAGTTACGGGGTTTAAAAGACAAAATAACAAAGGTCCAGATCCTAGGAATGTATAACATTCTGTAATGGATTTTCGTTAGGTTGTATTTTTTTATATGACTCCCGGATTTCTGTGATTATCCCAGCCTAGAGGGGCATGCATGCCGAATTATAACAACCGGAGTTAGGTTATTCAAAGCATAGTCGTATGCAAAAGAAATAGGCGTAGCCTATAGCTATGTGATACAATTTATCTGATTTGAACACATCGTTACAGATGTTGCCTTGCCTTCATTTACAGTAGTGTGTGTGTTGTATTTTTACTGACGTCATACGATTATTTATTTCGTTGTTGATTAGAAATATTTAAAAATAAGTTGTCCCCATATGCGTAGTCTAGCGTTGACACGTAAAGCTATGCGCATAACAACATAACGCCACACGGGTACCAATAATTAAGGATGTGTATTAGTCATTGTCGTGTAGTTGTGGTTGTTTGTTTCAGGGTTTACGACTTCGCAACAGTTACGATCGTACATCGAGGGCGTCATTTAGATAATACGTGGTGGTGCTTCTTGGCCTTTCATTATGCAATCCAAGCTTTTAAAACTAATTGTTTATCACCTACTTAAGACACGAAATGTTACAGAGCCCTAAAGCATCTTTACGTTCATCTTGTGTAATGGCGCACATAAAATGACAGATTATTAACTAATAAAAGTTACTCTCAGAAAATAATGGTGTTTACAAAGCAACGGCAGCTGTCATCACTGCGATGATCCATTCCCAAATGAAAAATACAAAATCTTAATTGTTACTGGTATGTCGTTTCTTCAAATTCAAGTTTGCATCCATGCATTAATTGACACACTATCGGGGATTATTCTTTTCCTTTTCTTTTCAAATTCCTTATCGAGGTAAGCTCAACCAATAAAATAACCGTTTTAATTATTATCTGAATTAGTACTAAGCAAAAAGAAAAACAATCCGTTATTATCACAAAGTCAGAAACAGATTAAAGGGTTTTTACATTATGCGGACGACCAATTTTTACTTTTAAATACAATAATTTTATGGTAAAACGTGACGGAGCTGTACATGTTATTGTCTCAGTATAGGTCTTATACGTGTAGTTTTGGAATTGAGCTGGGGGAAAAGAAAACAAACGACACATGTCGTTGGTCAAGAAATAATTTTGCAGTCGGTTTGTAAGTACTGATCGATGACAAAAGAGTACATGAGAAACTATCCAATTATAGAATAAATCCCGATCGGCCTTGGGGGCACTTGTTAACACATTGTTGGCCTCCATATAACCCCAGTTTACACTCTAATGAGACATTTGATTCCAAAATGAACACACAATTCATATTAAATGGTACCAACAGCTTTTATTACTCTGACTTACCGAAGTAGTATGGTGGTAGACGCCTTGACTATTTCGCATGAAATATTTTTGAGAAACCTGTCGTGGAATTTCTTTTTTGTTATCTAATCACGCTGTCTTAAAGAAAATTGAGTGAAATTAGTTTAGTCAACGCTACAGTAATTAACAATATAACACAATGAATATCTGGCGATTTCCATAGTGCAGTCGAAAGAATACGTAAGAACTTCTTTTGCCACATTTTACATTTTATAGCAAACCAATTAAGATAACAGCCAATTAGGATATGCGATATATCTTGATCGGATTTATAAAAAAAATACAGCTTACTAGATCATATGTTTCGTTTTGTAAGCTCCCTCCTCCTAACATACAACAGCTCGTTACCTTTTGTCAATCAAGGCTAAAATTGAATGCGTGTTTCGTGCACAATTGCTTGTTAAAGTCGCTATGGGCAGTAAATGACCGGAAAACGGGGTTCAACTCTCCTCATTAGATCGTGAGAGTGGCGATTCTTATAATACATACGAACGACGCTAACATTCAAAGTAGTAATAGCCAAATGCCTGGGTTATGATCTCTATCGATTTTTTCATGAGTCGGTATATGATGGAGCAAAACAAGAGGATGTCTCCCCGGACGGAACCAGCACAATCGCTCAACCATCTTGGTTTGTGGTCTACAAAAAACCTTAAAAAAAACACGTTGTTTCCACTTGTTGGGCTTGATTAATTGTAAGACGTCTCCGAATTTAGATTTTAGTAATAAATTATTGATGAAAGTGGCCATTATTCATGGTCAGTTGCGATTATTATGAGCACACAAGGGTCAATACAGCTAGTGCGGGATTAGAGGGTAGTAAAATACATAGAACAGAGTGAACATGGTCGTATCATGGTGGCCTTGATAGACATTAAGGTTAGCAGGGACCTCCTGACGTTGATAGTTAGCATTACTATATATTAAGGATTCCCCGCGATATGTCCTCAGAATTGGTCGTTAATCTCCGGGCCATTTACTTTATTGGTGACCGGTATGATATGGACC